GTGAGGCTGTCTCTGTGCCCAGGTTTCTCCTTTTCTTATTATTTATTTGTTTGTTTGTTTATTTATTTTAGAGACAGGGTCTTGCTCTGTCTCCCAGGCTGGAGTGCAGTGGCGCAATCATAGCTCACTGCAGCCTCAAACTCCTGACCTCAAGCAATCCTCCTACTTCAGCCTCCTGAGTAGCTGGGACTGCAGATGTGAGCCACTGCGCTCTGCCCAGATGTCCCCTTTTTATAAAGAAACCCATCAGGTAGGATAAGGGTCCACCCTAATGACCTGATTTTAACTTGATTCCATCTGCAAAGACCCTATTTCCAATTCATAGGTACCAGGGGTTAGGACTTCTTCAATGCATCTTTCTGCGGGGACCGACTGCAACCCACAACAGAACTGTGGGCATGTAATTTGACCTCTCGGCCAGGCGCGGTGGCTCACACCTGTAATCCCAGCACTTTGGGAGGCCGAGGTGGGTGGATCACCTGAGGTCAGGAGTTCGAGACCAGGCTGGTCAACATGGTGCAACCCTGCCTCTACTAAAAATAGAAAAATTAGCTGGGCAGGGTGGCAAGCACCTATAATCCCAGCTACTTGGGAGGGCGAGGCAGGAGAACTGCTTGAACCCAGAATGTGCAGGTGGCAGTGAGCCAAGGTAGCACCATTGCATTTCAGCCTGGGTGACAGAGTGAGACTCCATCTCAAAAAAAAAAAAAAAAAAAAAAAAGATCTCTCTATGCCTCAGTTTTCTCACCCAGGAGGGTGGGGGTGATTATATACCCACTCCTGGGGTTCATGAGAGGATTAAATGAGCTCAAACAGTCCAAACCTCCATGTGTGTCTGTTGTGGTGCTGGGTAGCGTGTCCTGTGCCCAGAGGTCCCCAGGCAAGGGCAGATTCGGGTCTTGTTGGCGGCATCTGAGATGGACGGGCTGCCTTGGCATGGAAGGGCCTCGGCTGCTTTTCCCTGTTCAGTCCTGTCCCTCTCCCCCATCCTCCACCCTGTCCCTGTCATCTGAGCCTGCTCCTCGTGACGGCTCACAGTCTCCCTACTGGTGGCCGGTGCAGAGTTTCATTCCCTGGGCTATATTTAGCCCTGAGAAATGGGAACGAGAAGCCCTCAGCCGCCACAGTGACAGAGAGAGAAGCACAAAGCCAGTGCTGCCTTCTGTCCAGCCATGGTTCTGCTGACTCGGTTCTTTCTCCCAGAACCTTCCAGAAGCGAAGCATTGGCATTTCTGGGCCTGTTAAAACAAGGATGTGGGCTGGTGGCTGGCGCGTTCATTGTCCCCAGAACCTGTCTGTGTCCATGATTAAAGTTGGCTTGGTTAGTTTTATTTTCAGGGCTTTTTTTTTTTTTTTTTTTTTTCGGTATCTGTGGCAACCCAACAAACATAAAATTTACCATCCTTAATTTTTTTTTAACTTTTTAATATTTTTTAATTGACAAGTCATAATTGTACTTATTCATGGGATACATAGTGATGTTTCAATACATACAATGCATAGTGCTCAGATTGGGGTAATTAGCGTATTCATCTTCTCAGACCTTTATTGTTTCTTTCTGTTAGGAACATTCAAGCTCCTCCTTCTAGCTATTCGAAACCATTAATATACTGTTGCCATCCTAACCATTGTTAAGGATACCCTTCTGTGACATTAAGTATAATACATTCACACTGCTGTGCAACTATCACCACCATCCATCTCCCAAACGTTTCCATCTTCCAAATGTAACTCTGTCCCCACTAAACGCCAACTTCCTGTTCCCCCTTCCCCAGCCCTTGGCATCCACCATGCTACTTTCTGTTTTTATGATTCTGACGACTCTAGGGACCTCCTATAAATGGAATCATACAGGATTTTCCCTTTTATGACTGGTTTATTTCACATAGCATAATGCCCTCAAGGTTCACCCATGTTGCAGCACGTATCAGCATTTTCTTTCTTTTTAAGGTAAAGTTGACTATTAAAAAAAATTTTTTTTTGCCGAGCTCAGTGGCTCACGCCTGTAATCCCAGCACTTTGGGAGGCTAGAGCAGGCGGCTCAGGAGGTCAGGAGTTCAAGACCAGTCTGACCAACATGGTGAAACCCTGTCGCTACTAAAAATACAAAAATTAGCCAGGTGTGGTGGCGGGCGCCTGTAATCCCAACTACTCAGGAGGCTGAGGCAGGAGAATTCCTTGAACTCAGGAGGCAGAGGTTGCAGTGATCTGAGATCACGCCACTGCACTCCAGCTTGGGTGACAGAGTGAGATTCTGTCTCAAAAAAAAAAAAAAATTGAAGTAGAATAAACATACAGAAAAATCCACAGATTATAAGTGAAGAGCTTGATTAATTGTCACAAACTAAACACACCCATGTAACCAGCCCACAAATGAGGAAACAGAACCTTCTCAGCCCCACAAGCCCCCTCTCATATCCAGTTCCTAGTCACTACCTCCCCGCAAGGGTACCCCTACCAGGACTTTGAGCATCATTCACTAGTTTAGCCTGTTTTTGTATTTTGCGTAAGTGAAATCTTACATGTATGCTGTTTTCTGTCTGGCTTCTTTTACTTGACATTAACTTTTTAAGATCTCATGTGACCTGTGACATTGTTCATTGCATGTATCCTCTGTCTCCTGTTGATAACAGTGTGGATTGTTTGCAGTTTGGGGCTATGATGAATACCACTGCTATGAATGTCCTTGTGTGTGCTTTCTGTTGGGTAACTATTCAGAATTACTATCTAATTGTAATCACCTTGGATAGGTAACCATCCGAGAATTACTGGGTCTTGGCAAAGGTACATATGGTCATACACTGCATAATGGCATTTTGGTGAACAACAGATCAAATATATAACAGTGGTCCCATAATGGACCGAATATGTAACAGTGATTATCACACAGTATTTTTACTATAGCTTTTCTGTTTTTAGATATTTTTAGATACACCATTGAGTTATCAATTGCCTACAGTATTCCATAGAATAACATGCTGTACAGGTTTATAGCCTAGGATCAATAGGCTAGACCATGCAGCCTAGGTGTGTAGTAGGTTATACCATCTAGGCTTGTGTAAGCACACTCTATGATGTTTGCACAACAAAATGACCTAATGACACATTTCTCAGAACGTATGCCCATTGTTAAGCATGACCTAATCATTCTTAGTATAGAAACTCTCAACACCAATTTTTCAAGTAGTTGTACCATGTGTTATGGGTTTTATTGTCTCACCCCAAAATTCATATGTTGAAGTCCTGACCCTCAGCACCTCAGAATGTGATCTTATCTGGAAATGGATTCATTGCACATGTAATTGTTAGGTTGGTGCCAAAGTAATTGCAGTTTTAAAACTGCATAGTAGCCAAAATGAGATCATTAGGGTGGGCCATAATCCAATATGATGGTGTCCATATAAAAAGGGGAGATTTTGGCACAGAGACAGGCACACACAGAGGAAGAATGCCATGCTTAAACAAAGGCAGAGATCAGGATGATGCCTCTGCAAGCCAAGAATCAGCAAAGATTGCCAGCAAACTGCCAGAAGCTAGGAGAGAGGGATAAAACAGATTCTCTCTCACAGCCCTCAGAAGGAACCAGCCCTTCTGACACCTTGATCTTGGATTTCTGGCCTCTATAACTGTAAGACAATAAATCTTTGTTGTTTAAGCCACCTAGGTTGTGGTTCCTTGTTACAGCAGCCACAGGAGATGAATACAGCATGGTACCCTCCGATTGGCAGGTTATGAGGGTTCCAGTTGCTCTACAGTTTCACAGACACCTAGTAGTAATGACCTCATCTTAACTTCTTTCTCATTTTAGCCTTTCTCCTAGGCAGCAGCAGTGTCATATATGCTTTTAAAGGTGGGCTTTTAAAGCCACTCTTGAGAGCCTGCATTCTGGAGGTGTCACAGGGTGATCAACCATTGAAAGGCTACCCCTGCCCTGACAGCGGGAGGCAAGGCTTCCCAGCACAGAGGTTAAGCCCATGGACTCTGGGGCCCAGCTGGCTAGTTCAAATCCTATGTCTATTACTGAATAGCTCTGTGACCTTGGGCTCATGATTTTGTCTTTCTGAGCCTCAGTTTCCTCAATGGTAACATGGACATTATAACATAGAGGCATCATGAGGATTAAATGACTAAGTGAGCTAACATACATAATGTGCTTAGGAGAGTACCAGCACACCATAAATACTCTGTAAGTGCTGGGTTTTATCATTCTTTTCTCTCTCTCTGTCTTTCTCTCTCTCTCTCTCTCTCTCTCTCTCTCTCTCTCTCTCAGTGCTGGTTTTTATCATTCTTCTCTCACTCCTTCTCTCTGTCTGTGTCACACACACACACACACACACACACACACACACACCTCCTCTCCTTGATTTTCTTCCCCTCATATTACTTCCTTCTTGCTATAGTGTTCTGTTTTCTGTTTCAGACAGTATTCTATTTGTGGACTTTTTTCCCCTTGAAAATTGAACTGAAACTTCTGAGAATTTTTTGTGATTGACATTAAGGCTGCAAGGAATGCAGCAGGGAGACACTTAAGGAAAAGGCTCATGGCCCATCTGTCTGGCTTGGTGATTTCACCAGGTCATCAGACCCTGTGGTCATGCATCTCCTCTAAGGGGAATCTGTGACTGTGTTGGGAGAAGGGAAGGAACCAGGGATTAATTAATCCATTTCAGTAGGTTTTGTGCTTTGTTTTGTTTTCTTTTCTTTTTCCTTCTCCTCCTGGACTCTGGTCTGGGAAGTCCTACTGTGTTTCTTACTCATTCCCAGGTCAATTATGTTATGTGAGGACAACATAATTAAGAGAGAGCTTTTCCCTTTGGATGTTTTCTCCAGAAAATGTTTCTCCATTTCACCCTCTGGGATGCCACAGCCCCAGAACTCCACAAGCCAAGAACATTTAAGACAGAGCCACAAGAGAACAAGAGCTTCCCCATCCCTCACCTGTCAGGTTCTATCTGAGTCCCAGTCAACTCTCACCTGCTTTCCCTCCTCACACCCTACAGAGCAACGATGCCTCAGGGAACACTTGGAACTGGTTGTACTTCATCCCCCTCATCATCATCGGCTCCTTTTTTATGCTGAACCTTGTGCTGGGTGTGCTGTCAGGGTAAGTCTCTGCTACTCCCCACCCCATCCCACTCACTCCTCTTTGCCGACTTCTTCCCAAGGACAGGCCATTGAAGCTTTGTTTTCATTCACTAGACAGAGAAAAGGCTTCTCCCCTTGTTTGGGTTACCAGACTGTTATTAGCAAGCCATGTACAGGTTGTGTACTGCTAGGGGTACCCAGTAAGGGAGTTCATTCATATGGGCTTTACTTTCTTTACATTTTTTTTTAAAAAAACAGTAGTTTGGGTTTACTTCTCCCCCATTTTCCAAATATAAAATCATAGCATATGCTCTAACAGTGTATTTTCCTGACCCATATTATTCTCTATCCCTAAGATTTTTTTGGCTGAATCATAAATGGGCTTCATTTTTCTTACCATAAGAAGTCTGGGCACTTGTATGGTGGTTCCATAGCACCATCAGCAACCCCAGATTCTTTCAGCTTTCCATTCTGACATCTTTACCGGAGGCTTCCAATCTCATGGACACCTCATGGTCCTAAGATGGCTGCTGCATGCCCTCAAGATGGCCACTTCATGTTCCAAACAGGAAAAGGAAGAAGGGAAACAGGAAGAGGTGGGACCTATGGCAGAGAAGCCAACCCGCTGTAGGGCTTATTGGTCTAACTTAAAAGAGGGCTGAAATAATTATTAGCCAAGAGTATGAAGAGAATGAGAATGAGGTATGCAGCCAGTGGTGGTTGGCATGGCATGGTTTTATCCTTTCATTTTTTTTCTTTTTTATTGTTTTTTTTCTTAGAGACAGTGTCTAGCTTTATTACCCAGACTGGAGTGTAGTGGGGCGATCATAGCTCACTGTAACCTAGAACTCCTAGGCACAAGCAATCCTCCTGCCTCAGCCTCCTGAGTAGCTAGGGCAACAGGTTATGCACCATGCCCAGCTAAATTTTTTGTTTTTCATAGAGATGGGGCCCACTATGTTGTCCAGGATGGTCTCAAATTCCTGGCCTTAAATGATACACCCATCTCGGCCTCACAAAGGGCTGGGATTACAGACATGAGCCACTGTGCCTGGCCTTTTTCTTTACCTAGGCGCAGTTGTTGGGAAATATGTGAAGCTGGCAGAAGCACCCATCGCTATAATATCCCAGTCTTTTCCCAGAAGACCTGACTCCTCCTGTTGAAAACTCCTAACCTCCAGAGACTTCTGAATCCCCAAACACTCACACACACACACACACACACACACACACACACACGTTTCCTAACATTTTCAAAACAGCCATACTCTGGCTTTTCTATGCTTCTGCAGGGAGTTTGCCAAAGAAAGGGAACGGGTGGAGAACCGGCGGGCTTTTCTGAAGCTGAGGCGGCAACAACAGATTGAACGTGAGCTCAATGGGTACATGGAGTGGATCTCAAAAGCAGGTGAGGCCCTTTCATCCTGGGGCCCAGGGATGGAGATCCCAGGCCACGGAGCACAAAGAGAGTCATGCAGTTTGGAGAAGGCTAAGCTGGGAGGGTCGTGATGGGAGGAGAAAGAGAACCTGAATTGGTAGTCCCAAATTTTATCAACAAGAATCCGGGGTCTGATACGAAAAAGTCTAGGATGAAGCCAGGGTCTGACATCACATTACTTGAATTCTGAAATCAGACGTTGGTTTATATCCCGGCCCTGCCACTTTTTACCCATGCACTACACATCCCTGTACCTCCGTTTCCTCAGCTGTTACATGGAGGCAATGATAGTGCCTATGTCATAGTACTATTGGAGTATTTAGTAAAATAATCTCAGCTAAGTCACTTGGGGAGAGCAGCGCCTGATACACGGTAGACACATATTTATTTGTTCAGCAATTTAATAAACATTTAGGGAGTACCTGCTGCGTGCCAGGCACTGATCTAAGCACTGAGGATATGGGAGTAAACAATACACACCAAATCCCTGCCCTCAGAGCTCAGATATTCTAGTGAGAGAGATAAAACAAATACATGTCATATGGGGAACTCCCAAATTCAGAAAAGGAAGATAAAAGACTAGGAAGATAAAACAGAGTAGGAAGTTGGCCGGGCGCAGTGGCTCACGCCTGACATCCCAGCACTTTGGGAGGCTCAGGCGGGGAGATTTCCTGAGGTCAGAGATTTCCTGAGACGAGCCTGGCCAACATGGTGAAACCCAGTCTCTGCTAAAAATTCAAAAAGTAGCCGGTCATGGTGGCGCATGCCTGTAATCCCAGCTACTCGGGAGGCTGAGGCAGGAGAATCACTTGAACCCAGGAGGCAGAGGTTACAGTGAGCCGAGATCACACCACTGCACTCCAGCCTGGGCGACAGAGCAAGACTCCGTGTCAGAGAATAAAAAAGAGTAGGAAGTCGGAGGCAAGGGGGTCAGGGAAGGCTTCTCTAAGAAAGTACCTCTGAGTAGAGAGACCTGAAGGACATGAAGAAGGAAGCTGTGGGGACATCAAGGGAAGGGGCACTCCAGGCAGAGGCAACAAGTACAAAGGCCCTGAGCTCGGAGCGTATTTGAGACACGGCAAGGAAGCCAGTGCAGGTGAAACGGAGTGAGAGGTGGGAAGAGTCGGACGAGAGGAAGACAGGAAGGTGATGGAGATCAGATCAAGCAGGGGCTTGTAAGCTGTGGTGTGGATATTGGTTTTTATTTTGCGTGACGTGGGGAGAATGTTGGCTTTTGCCACTGTGGCGGAGGTGGGGCTTGAGGTCACAAACTACCCAGCAGCATGTTTTTTGGCCAGTTGAGCTGTCATCATCAGCCAGGGGAGAATGGGGGTGGCCGGGCAGAACTTTCTCCTTCCCGGTCCGAGAGAGAACTCATCCTCTAAATGCAGGATCTTAACTCTGTGCTCTTCCTCTTCAGAAGAGGTGATCCTCGCCGAGGATGAAACTGACGGGGAGCAGAGGCATCCCTTTGATGGTAACCGCTCTGAACCCACCTCGGGGGTGGGTCCCAGGGGAGAAGGGAGAAGCTGTGGTGGGGAGTCGGGGGAGAGCAGGTGACTGGTTCTAAGGATCCTCCAGGGGGTGGACGTTCCTCCTAGAAGAATTTTAGGACTTCCATGCAGAGTTTCTCTATTCTGGCCTCCACGTTTTTGTTTTAACCATGGACCTGGTTTTTTCTGCTTTGTGCCTTGGTTTTTCTCACCTGCAAAATGGGTGTGATATAAACAATACCCTAGATCGTGAGATTGTTTCTCAGAATGATATTCATTTTGGCAAATGTAACACCTAGGATAGGGTCAGAACGTTTCTGCCTGCTAAATAAATAATAATCCCACCAAAAATCCAGTTTACTGTGAAGGGCTGCTGTCTCCCATGTCAGAAACTTCACCAGACAGAACCATGACTGACTTTCTTTTTTTTTCTTTGTCTTTTTTAAATTGAGACAGAGTCTCGCTCTGTCACCCAGGCTGGAGTGCAGTGGCATGATCTCACCTCACTGCAACCTCTGCCCCTCAGGTTCAAACAATTCTCCTGCCTCAGCCTCATGAGTAACTGAGATTACAGGCGTGTGCCACACGCGTGGCGAATTTTTATATTGTTGGTAGAGATGGGGTTTCGCCATGTTGGCCAGGCTGGTCTCGAACTCCTTGCCTCGAGTGATCTGCCCACCTCGGCCTCCCAAAGTGCTGGGAGTATAGACGTCAATTCATGGTCCCCTGGAAACCTGAATATGAAAGGAGGGACCATTAAAAACGGGTCCAAAAACCCAACCTGCCCAGCATAGCTGGGAGTCAGGGGACAGACTGTAAGAGTCACTGTGTATCCAACCTGGGGCTTCATGAAAGTAAGGCTTCCTAGAATTTAGAGATAGGGCTGGATGTGGTCTGTCCATGGCTCACACCTGTAATCCCAACACTTTGGGAGGCCGAGACAGGAGGAACACTTGAGCCTGGGAGTTCAAGACCAGCCTGAGCAACACAGTGAGGTTCCGTCTCTACAAAAAATAAAAACGTAGCCGGATGTGGTGACGCACGCACCTAGGGTCCCAGCTACTCAGGAGGCTGAGGCAAGAGGATCACTTGAGCCTAAGAGGTCAAGGTTGCAGTGGGCATCACTCCACTCCAGCCTGGGTGATAGAGTGAGACCCTGTTTCAAAAGAAAAAAAAGAATTTAGAGATAGGCCAGAAGGATATGCCTGCAATGTAATAATAACAGCAATAAGAAAAATAATAGTACTCCCTGAAACACGCAACTTGTTGCTCGAGATTTATCTTCTCACACTTTAGAAAGCTGGTTAGACGGGGGCTGGGTGTGGTGGCTCACAGCTGTAATCTCAGCACTTTGGGAGGCCAAGATGGGTGGATCACTTGAGGCCAGGAGTTCAAGACCAGCCTGGCCATCATGGTGAAACCCATCTCTACTAAAAATACAAAAATTAGCTAGGTGTCGTGGCACACGCCTGTAATCCCAGCTACTCGGGAGGCTAAGCCACGAGAATTGCTTGAACCTGGGAGACGGAAGTTGCAGTGAGCCGAGATCACACCACTGCACTCCAGCCTGGGTGACATAGCGAGACTGTGTCTCAAAAAAAAAGAAAGAAAACTGGCTAGACGGGGTGATGACTTTTGATTTAAAATCCCAGGGATTTGAGGGAAATAAAAGAACTGGCACTCTGTCCCAGAAGGTTATAAAATGAATTTTACTGTTTTAGCTGGGGAGGGGAGATGACCCATGGGTTGCCTAAATCTTTTTATTGGAAGTCTACACCTGAACTTACTGTCTGCTGTGGAGCCCCTAGGGGTATATAGCTTGAATACTAGAGTAGAATCCCAAAATTGCAGCCTGCCTAGCAAATGTGCTACTGGTCAAGGGGTGGACTGTTTTCATAAGAAAGTTAGGTTTCTTAGAATTTAAAAATAGAGGCTGAGTGTGGCAGCTCATGCCTGTAATCCTAGCACTTTCGGAGGCCAAGGCAGGCAAATCACTTGAGGTCAAGAGTTTGACCAGCCCTGGCCAACATGGCAAAATCCCATCTCTACTAATAATATAAAAATTAGCCGGGCATGGTGGTGCACGCCTGTAGTCTCAGCTACTCAGGAGGCTGAGGCAGGAGAATCGCTCGGACTTGGGACGCGGAGGTTGCAGTGAGCCAAGATCACATCACTGCACTCCAGCCTGGGTGACAGAGCGAGATTCTGTCTCAAAAATAAGTAAATAAATAAATAAACCAGAGGGAAAATAGTGGCCGAGGGCCCAGACCTGGAGTCGGACTGAACCCAACTAGATTCTTGTCTTTACGCCTTTAAGCAAAGTGATAGTGCCACCTTGAACCTCAGTTTACATATCTGAAAAATTGGTATACTATTAGTTTCTGTGAGAACAGTTGCCATGAGAGTTAAATCCAAGGGCACACTGTGTCCATATGGTCTGTGTTGCAAAAAGGGTAACGTCTTTTTCTCTTGCCATGTTTCCATTGTTGGAGCTCTGCGGAGAACCACCATAAAGAAAAGCAAGACAGATTTGCTCAACCCCGAAGAGGCTGAGGATCAGCTGGCTGATATAGCCTCTGTGGGTGAGTCCCTTCCTCTGCCACCTATCAGTTGTTCATCGCCTATCGTCCAAGAGATGGAGTGGGGTGGGGGCAGAGGGCTTGCAAACTGTGCTGCCTGGATTTGGGTCTCAGCTCCACCCCTTCCCGCCTGTGCGTGTGTCCTGGGGCAGATTACATCATTATGGGAATAACATCTGTGCCCAGCTTCTCATTGTTTGGTGGGAATTCTACTAAATGATCCCCATAAAGCATGGCGAACCGGCACCTGGCAGCGACCAAGCTCTCAGTCATGTTGGTGAATGTTTGTGACTCACTCGGGAAGTATTCATGGGGGACCTGCTTATATGAGGTGCCTGATTGCAAATAAGACACAGGCATTTGGGAGTCTGAACTGGGAGGATCACTTGAGCCTGGGAAGTGGAGGCTGCAATGAGCCATTATTGTGTTACTGCACTCCAGCCTGGGCACAGAAAAAAAAAGACACAAATGGGCCAGCGCGCAGTGGCTCACGCCTGTAATCCCAACACTTTGGGAAGCTGAGATGAGCAGATCACCTGATGTCGGGAGTTCGAGACCAGCCTGGCCAACATGGTGAAACCCTGGCTCTACTAAAAATACAAAAACTTAGCCTGTAGTCCCAGCCACTCGGGAGGCTGAGGCGGGAGCATCACTTGAACCTGGGAAGCAGAGGTTGCGGTGAGCTGAGATCTCATCACTGCCCTCCAGCCTGGGCAACAAAGCAAGATCCTATCTCAAAAAAAAAAAAAAGAAGACACAAACCAAATCCCTACCTACATGGAGCTCGCAGTCCGGTGCAGGAAATAGAAATTAAACAGAGAATTACACAAATAAACCTGTAATGGTAATGGCACATCAGGGAGAGGCTCTGGGCTTAGTTTGCTCTGAAAGGATGGAGAGCAGGCAGGGAAGGCTACCCGGAGGAAGTGATGTTTAAGCTGGAAACTGAAGCGTGGGTAGGAGATCACCGTGGTGGTAATAGCAGAACGAACAGTGTGAGAGGCAGGGCTCTGACCTTTGCCACCACAAGAGCCAGAGTTTGAGGAAAGAGGGAACATTTATTCTTTCCCTTCTCACTCCTCCGTCCTGTTGATTCATTGACTGTGACTATGTTGATCATGACCTTCTAAAGTGAGAATGTATTGTTGTTGTCTTTAATGGATGTTTGTTTTTAATGGAAGGAAAAGCATCCAGGCAGAGGAAATAAGACTGGAATAAGATTGAGGAGATAAGGAATTTAGGCTGCTTAGAAAACTGTGTGGCCGCAATTTAGAGGAAGAAAGGATGGCAAGAGAAAGAGGAAGGGAGGAAGAGACGGAGGGAGCGAAGTGGAGGAAGGAGAGAAGTTAGCACATCCATGCGTTTCTGATCCATAGTTTCTGGTCTATTTCATATTCCCTTTGTTTCGCTCACCCCTAGTTTATAACCTTATTGCTGAGTTTAGGCATAATTTCCATTGCGATCACATATCTCATAGGGTGGATACACTTGGATACACTATGGTTTGTTTAGCCATAGTTCTTTTACAGGGTGTTTGAGTTGTTTCCAGTCATTTCTCTTACGAAGAGCACTGCTGTGCACATTTACGTACAATGACTCCCCCCCACCCTTTGGGCGTATTTCCTTGGAGATAATTATAGGATCAAAGATATTAACAGCTTTTCAACTCATTATTCAAAGAGCCATTCTGAGTTTCAAAAACATGGAGCCCATTTATAAACCCTGCCAAGTATGCATATGTTCGTGGATTCCCCACCCAGGCCATCGAATATTACCAATTTAATTTCCTCTCCCAGTTAAGTGGGTTTGTAATGAAACCTTAAAGCTTGTTTTCATTTGCATTTTTAATTTCCAGCCAAAACACGCTTTTTCTTGTAATGGAGAACTCGTTCTACTTCCACTTGTGTGTGCATCTGTTTAATCTCCTGTAAGCAAATGTCAAGAACTGGAGCGCTCAGTCGGTGCCTTGTGTATTTGATCAATTATGTCTGTCTCACGTGTTAGGTTACTTCCATTGTTTTAAAATCTGTTTTATGGCCAGGCACAGTGGCTCACGTCTGTAATCCCACTGCTTTGGGAGACCAGTGCAGAAGGATCTCTTGAGGCCAGGAGTTCAAGACCAGCCTGGGCAACATAACAAGACTCCATCTCTGAAAAACAAAATGTTTAAAAACTTAGCCAGGCATTATGGCACACGCCTATAGTCCCACCTACTGGGAAGCTAAGACAGGAGAATTTCTTGAACCCAGGAATTCAAGGTTGCAGTGAGCTATGATTGTGCCACTTCACTGCAGCCTGGGCAACAGAGTGAGGACCTGTCTCTAAAAAAAATCAGTAACATTAATTCTTAAAAATCTGCTTTGTTGGCCGGGCGTGGTGGCTCACGCCTGTAATCCCAGCACTTTGGGAGGCCGAGCAGGTGGATTGCTTAAGGTCAGGAGTAGGAGACCAGCCTGGCCAACATGGTGAAACCCTGTCTGTACTAAAAATTCAAAAATTAAGTGGGTGCGGTGGCGTGTGCCTGTAGTCCCAGCTACTCGGGAGGCTGAGGCATGAGAATCGCTTGAAACTGGGAGGCGGAGGCTGCAGTGAGCTGAGATGATGCCATTGCCCTCCAGCCTGGGTAACAAGAGTGAAACTCCATCAAAAAAAAAAAAAAAAAAAAAAATCTGCGTGTGTGTGTGTGTGTGTGTGTGTATATTTTTTTTTTTTTTTTTTTGAGATGGAGTCTTGCTGTAGCACCCAGGCTGGAGGGCAATGGTACCATCTCAGCTCACTGCCACTGCAGCCTCTACCTCCGTTAACAAGGCAGGTGACATTGCAGCTTTCTAAACAGACCCAAAACCCAGGCCAGTGGCTTCTTATTTCATAGCCACGTTTGCTACAGGCAAATCCACCAAAACCCACCTCATCAGCCTGATTGCTCAAAAAGACAAACAAAGGAGCCCGCAATCTAGCCAGTGGTTTTCTAGACCACTCCAAAAGAGATCTCTGGAATTCCAGGATTCTGGCAAGGAATCACATTTACCTTTATTTTTTTATGTAAAGAATGCAATAATACAGGCAGGGTGTGGTGGCTCACGCCTGTAATCCCAACATTTTGGGAAGCCGAGGTGGGAGGATCATTTGAGGCCAGGAGTTTCAGACCAGCCTGGGCAACATAGTGAGACCCTGTCTCTATCAAATATTAGCTGGGCATTGTGGCACATGCCTGTAGTCCCAGCTACTCGTGAGGCTGAGGTGGGAGGATCACCTGAGCCCAGAAGGTTAAAGCTGCAGTGAGCCGCGGCAGCCCCTGTACTCTAGCCTACACGACGGAGACCTCATCTCGAAAAAAAAAGAATGTAATAATACAGTAATGCATATTTCAAAGTAAGGTGAGAGCTTTGTGGTGTTTGCGTTCACATTCACATTGCACCACAATACGCACAGTCCTATTTTTTTTTTTTTTTTGAGACAGTGTCTTGCCCTGTTGCCCAGGCTGGAGTGCAGCGGTGCAGTCATACCTCACTGCAGCCTCAAACCCTTGGACTCAAGTGATCCTCCCACCTCAGCTTCCCTAGTAGCTGGGACGACAGGTGTAGACTGCTACACTCAGCTAAGTTTTTTATATTTTTTAATAGAGATGGGCTCTCGATATGTTGCCTAGGCTGGTCTCAAACTCCTGGCCTCAAACGATCCTCCCACCTCCACCTCGCAAAGCAGTGGGATAACAGGCATGAGCCACCACACCTGACCCACACGGAGTCTTATATAATTGGTGATTCTACTGTGTTGTTGAATCAGTGGATAAACGCACTATAAAGCAGGTTCATTTCTTTTTTTTTTTTTTTTTTTTGAGACGGAGTCTCACTGTGTCTCCCAGACTGGAGTGCAGTGGCACAATCTCGGCTCACTGCAAGCTCCACCTCCCAGGTTCACGCCATTCTCCTGCCTCAGCCTCCCGTGTAGCTGCGACTACAGGCGCCCGCCACCACGCCTGGCTAATTTTTTGTATTTTTAGTAGAGACGGAGTTTCACCGTGTTAGCCAGGATGGTCTCGATCTCCTGACCTCGTGATCCACCTGCCTCAGCCTCCCAAAGTGCTGGGATTACAGGCGTGAGCCACCGCGCCCAGCCTAGCAAGTTCATTTCTAATTGATGAACTTACTGCTGAAATAAGGAACTTGAATCATTTACATGGAAAGTTGAGCCATGTTGCTGAAAGGGTATCAATTTTTTTCTTTTTTTTTTTTTTTTTCTTTTTTTTTGAGATGGAGTCTTACTCTATCGTCCATGTGGGAGTGCAGTGGTGCGATCTCGGCTCACTGTGACCTCTGCCTTCCAGGTTCAAGTGATTCTCCCACCTCAGCCTCCCAAATAGCTGGGACTACAGGGTGCACACCACCAGGCCTGGCCAATTTTTGTATTTTTAGTAGAGATGGGGTTTCACCATGTTGGCCAGGCTGATCTCAAACTCCTGACCTCAAGTGATCTGCCCACCTCAGCCTCCAAAAGTGCTGGGATTACAGGTGTGAGCCACTGCGCCTGGCAGGATATCAAATTTCATTTAGACTGGAGGAATACATGCAAGGGATCTATTGTACAGCATGGTGACTGTATTAATAACAATGTATTGTATACTTGAAAATTGCTTAGAGAGTAGATTTTAGGCGTTCTCACCATGAGAAAAGTGATAAGCATATGTGGTAATGCATACGTTAACGAGCTCAACTGAGCCATTCCATGGTGTATACATATGGCCAAAATATCATGTTGTGCACTATAAATAGATACAGCCTGTATCTGGCAAATTTTATGAATAATAATAAATGAATAATAATTTTAAAAGGAAAAATAACAGTATAGCTGGGCGTGGTGGCTCACACCTGTAATCCCAGCATTTCGGAATACCAGGACGGGCAGATGACTTGAGGCCGGGAGTTCAAGAGCAGCCTGGCCAAAATGGTGAAACTTTGTCTCTAATAAATATATAAAAATCGGCTGGGCATGGAGGTGGGCAC